CTCTATCAGCTGACGTCAACAGGCAGGAACAGGGAGACAAAACACTGAGAGCACAGCAGCCAAGGTTACAGGTGCCTGTGCTCAGTCAGGACAGTTTGAACTGATACACTGGGTCAAAGTTATGGGCCTTGGAAAATATTCCACAACAATGTTGAACTGGAACGATTTGTTAAGTAACTGGAGAAAAAGAGTGAGAAGAACAAGTAAACACTTTCCTGTAAAAAGAAAATGGTGTTTAGAATTGCCAGCATCATGTAATTTTCAGCCATTAGAGAGGAACACCATAAACACTCTATAGATCGGTGTCTCCTTTGTTGCAACATAATTGCTTGTTCTCGCTGTCGATATTTTCTTGAATACCAACAGACACAATACATCTAACGTGTTTACAGCATAAACCTTTTTCCATACTCTATTGATTTCACACTTCTTCAATAAAAACACTGTAGCTATTTTGAAAGTGTATTCGAACTGCAAAAGACCAGGCTCATCATCCGTCATAACCATTTTAAGTGGATTGAGCCACAAAGAAAGCAGCAGCCAATGTTAGTGCCGGAGAGAATCTCATCAGGGATGCAGGTCATGGCTCACAAAAACCCTTTGTTCAAGAGCGCCAAGCAACTCCTGTCTTCTCCTCCTGTCAAAGACACTTCTGGAGTGTTCCCTGTTCAAACAGTTTCACTGGGAGACTCTCCAACAGTACTGTGCTTCAATGCTCAGACCATCACCTCTCCCCAACCTACTGCTGCTCTGACAGGGCCTGGAGACACTGCTACACCTCCGCTCTGCAGTGAACACCACCTGTGCTCATACACACCTGATGTGCACAAAGAAGGCTATCCTGGCTCCAACAATGGTGGAACAAGCTCCCCATTCTTTCACACACAGTGACGTCACGAGCTACCCACAATGCAACGCGCGCCATATATATATATATATATAAATACGCCATTTTCCTGGAGGTGCAAATATCCTGGAGGTGCAAATATAAACAGCTAGCTAACGTTGCCAGGCAGAGCGCACTAGGTTTTTTTTCTGAATTAACGACCGAAGAAATCGCTGCATGTCTTCGGATTACATCTCTGGACTTGAGGGGTGTGCTCTAGGTCGTTACCAGCGTAAACTAGAGCTGTGTGGGTTGTCCGATTGCCCTTACAGACTGCCTGCAGATGTATGGAAAAACGACCCTCGAAAGTGGCCTTCGTCGATTTTGGCAGCATCTACGTCTATCTTCTGGAAACACCAGGTGAATACCCCACTTGTCACAATAATATTATCATGCCAATGCATATATGTGGTATTTTAGAGTTGACTAGATATTGATTAAGGCAATAGACTATGATATTCTGCTTGCACCTCGTGTGAAATGGCGGATACCGGAGGTACGGTGTCGCCCTCGGCCCAATACCCGTATGTGTGTGTGAAAGAATAGATATCAGTACAGCGGAGAATCTAAATATCCTGTTGCATACTGAAAACACACCAAGAAAACTGCATTACTAGGGTTTTGGCACATTTTAATATGCACCAGAATTTTCAAATAGTTTGGCTTACAAATGTTCAGGGTCTATCTTGCTGTTTCTGAACTTGTATCTTCTTGGTTTATAGCACTTTTGTAATTCGCCTTGAATAAAAGCATCAGCTAAATGAAATGTATCGTTGTTAATGTAATGAGAATCTGAACACCTCACCCCCCCCCCCTGTGTCTAAATATGTGCTCCTAACCTGACAGAGCTTTGTATCCTCCTGTCTCATTTGCTGCCTTTGAACCGTCTAAACAAAGACTAAAAAAAGAACAGATCTGTCTTCTTTCCTTAGAGAAGGAGACACATTGATTGGCATACACAAGTTAAAAGGCTTCCCACCAGGGCAGAGGTGACTCCTGCTGTCAAGGACATTCTCTTTCTGCAGGAGCACATCCTCTA